CCGGTAACCCGCAACGAGTTGCCAGAATTATGGAGCTTCACTAAATCGTAAATTCCTGAAGTTGCGCAGGAATCAATGGTATGCAGGATCGCACACGCACATTTTTTGGGTGACGACGTTTTTCCCCGCAAATTCTTTAGAGCCTTCAGCACCTTTTAACGGGTTGCCTTGTCAGGGTTGGAATTACCGGTGTCCGGTGTGCTCAACTACTGCTGAAATGTTCTACCATTCTCACTTTATATTCATCCCTAGGCATCACCACTGTCTTCGTTCCTTTGTTAGCGCAAAGGGCTATCAGGCAAGTTCCTTTCAACTTCTTCCATCAATTAATGTCCAAATAGTAGTGTTAAGTAACCACATTACTACGAGATTTATGAATGCTGTTGCGGACGATAAGGCCAACGAAAGAGATAAGTTCCTACGTAAGATTTTATATCTTTCTACTGGAATGAAGGAAATTTCTCTATAACGAACGCGACGTTTGAGATGGAGATGGTGGAGTCAGCAATGCTGAATCGATCCAGCGCAAGCACGCCTCGTTCAGATTCAGTAAATCTGACGTCGTTCAAAGAGGATTCAATTAGGCTGTCACAAAAAATTTCGATCTGGTCATATCCGATATATGAATACTTCCACTGAGCGTGTAATAGATCTTGTAGCTTCCTTTGCTGACAGGTAGAACGGCGTTAAACACTTTCTCTATACAGATATGAATTTTGACCAATTGGAAGTCCTGTTCAATCACCTTTTCAGCAACCGAATTCCACAGGCGATCAACATATTGTTCATAAACTCTCGTCATAAAAACTTTCCCACAATTTCGTTCTTCATGAACTTCTTTCTGCATCCCCAAATAAATAAAAATATGCTTTGTTCAGTTTACAACGAATTTTCTACGCTTGCCATATTTTATCTTTTCAAACGGAAACGAAAAATTTTTTATTACAGACTTCTGCAAAAGTATGATACATTGTTTTTTGAATAATAAAATCGAATGACTGTTTGATATTATGCTGCAGTACGTCATTAAGATACAATTCACAAAGGCTATTATTCATGAACATTTAACATTCTTCTTTTATCCAGCAGAATAGACCGGCGTTCTTCATATTTTTTATGGGGATTTTTCCCCATATTCACTTTCTTCCATAAATTACCGACACTTCGAGCTATATTGATATAGTGCATTGTACCTTGACAATGAGTTGAGTTTCGGGAAAGTCTGCAGTTTATGTAATAAAGAGTATCAGCATAACATTTCAAATTCTGGGCCCGCTGTTGAAATTACTTATGCTTGGTCGACTGATGGTTGAGGACATCAAACAAAACAGATCTGTGTAGAAGGAAATAAAATGTGACTTCGATGTTTTGGGGTAACATTGAAGTGTGAGCATTCAACACCGATGATATTTGTCATATTTAAAATACTGATACCGGATTTACATTGCGAAAACGTAGAGTATAAAGAAAGAAAAATTATTTCTCTTTACGTCGATATCGCAGTAGTGTTACACAGATGGAAATCTTGGCATCGGATTATACCGCAATATTACACTATATTGTTGATTATAGTCGCATTAAGAGACTATTTAATTTGCTCTTCTCTGTAAATTCGATATCACTAAAGCAGATCTGCAAATAGGC